AAATTTCAACCTTCATATGTCCCCATACTTCTCTATAAAATCAAAACTAACCTCTTGGGCAACTTTTGCCCAATATTTTCAAACATCAATTTCAACCTTCATATGTCCCCACACTTCTCTATAACATCATGACCAACCTCTTGGGCCACTTTTGTACAAGATGTTTCTAAAAACAATTTCAACATTCATATGTCCCCATACTTCTCTATAAAATCAAAACCAACCTCTTGGGCCACTTTTGTTCCAGTTGTTTGAACATCAATTGCAACCTTCATATGTCCCCACACTTCTCTATAAAAGCAAAACCAACCTCTTCGGCCACTTTTGTTCAAAATGTTTTCTTAAATCAACTTCAACCTTCATATGTCAAGAGGTTTGGTTTCCGATTTATAGAGACATGTTTGGATACAGATGTTGGCCCATGTGTAAGATAATTGTTTTATAGAGTGGTGATTGGACAAATAAAATCTAGAATTGGAGTAGCAACTGGTATCAGGGTTCAATGTAGCAGCAAATTGCAGGAGTAGAAGGCTCAAGGATTCTGCTGAGCGAACAAGTGTATACCTGGCCAGGCTACACCTACATGCAGCTACATCAAGCATGAAAAGTGTGACCTGCGTCAGGAGGCCAGGGGCAGCCAATGGACCTCAAACATTTGTAGCTCAATAATAGTATATAATCTCTGAGAAACACAGGCCTGAAGGGTTCCAAGGAAGAGCTCCCCAAGTGGCAGGAGTCATTGTTCTTTGGGTGCCAGAATTTGGTGGCCAGCCAGACATGGCAGGGCTCTACCCAGCCCCAGGTCCCAAAGGAGGTTGGTTTTTGATTTTATAGTGAGCCCAGGCGGCCCCAAGAAGAACTCCCACTGGGAAGCAGTGGTCAAGTTGCAAAACTTCCAAGCAAATGCTTCCCCAGCCCCAGAGGCTGTGGCCCGAAAAAGAGCTCAAGTGATTCCCAAGAAGAATTCCCATTGAGAAGCAGTGGTTCAGTTGCTCGATGATCTGAGAATCACAAGCCTGAAGGATTCCAAGGAAGAGCTCCCCGAGTGGAAGGAGTACAAAAGAGGACGTCATTGTTCTTTGGGTGCCAGAATGGTGGCCAGCCAGGCATGGCCCACAAAAGGTGTGTTGTTGATTTTATAGTGAGCCCAGGCTGTGGCACCAGAAGAACTTAATACTAAAACATGAAATATCAACCTACCTGACCTCACAGCACACCATCCACTCTAAAATCAATTCTCAACCTTCTATTACTCAAAATGCTTTCAATACTATACAATGACATATCAACCTACCTGACGTCGCAACACACCATCCACTCTAAAATCATTTCTCAACCTTTTACTACTCCAGATACTTTCTATAGAATCAAATGTTAGGACCTCTATAACATCTGTTGACATGGCGTGCCCTCTCTATAATAGAATCACATGTCGGCACCCATTTTGAGAGAACACATTGACTTTTTTGGACCCTATGTTTAAATAAAATGTGGTGGTTTTTCAGATAGGTTGATATTTGATTCTATAAGAACATTGTCTATAAAATCTGAGGGTCATTTTGAGCTCAAGCTCCCAGATTCTATAGAGATATTTGGCAGGGAATTGTATAATATTAATTCTGTATTCTGTGAAAATGCGGGCACAAGACATGGCAGCCCAAACAATCAGTCCGTAAGATGCCTCTAGATTCCAACATCTGCAAATGGTTCCAAGACAGGGACCTTTAATTTTCCTCCCAATTGTAGCAGCCCAGAATCAGTGCCTAGTTGATGCATAGCAGCTAGTGCCTGCCACGAGGCAGCAAAAAAAATGCTATGAATTGCTATGACATGACTAAAGGCTTGTTATTTCCAAGTGTGTGGTGCGAAGAACCGTGTGAACTTGAAGCTCATCAAAAGCAATTGTCACTTTGTCCTAGGCAGGACTGGTGATGATGTTTAGAAGCCAAGTGGCATGTTGGCCGAAAATGGCCTAAACCGAAGCAACCGCGAGCTGCATGGCGGGCAACACGTCGATTCGAACTAAATGAATCCTCCAGAACTGCTTCTACTGGTGAAGTTAATACCGACCCCCAAAAAAGCATGTTCGCTTCGAGACAAACATCGTGCAAATACGTGGCGACTCCTGCTATACTACCGCACAAGGGCACCCCGTTTCCTCCGCGCCTCTTTCAGGCTCTCTTCAGAAAGGTGTTTGGCCTCCAGCGAGCAGCAGCGCTCTCCTCATTCTCTCATCAGTTTAGCTAGTACTTTCCCTGGAACTAACAGACTAACATCGAAGTGGAACATCCCCTGTTTGTAGAGGAAAACTGTCTTCCAAGGCCACTTTCTACTTCCATGTCTTTTACAGTACAGGCAGTGTACTGCTTGGATGATTTATCGAGCCTGCTGCACCAACTGTTGTGCATCTGCTGCAAGGTTCTCCTGTGGCGTCTGGCCCGGGCCACGTAGTGCTAACTAAGTGCTGGAATGGTTGGACACCCAACTTGTCTTCTCCACACAAAAACAACAAAGCTCTTGCACCTTTCATATGTCCAAGCGCAAGACTCATCTGTTTTGTGTGAACACATGAACAGAAACACGTCGAAACGGAGGGACACGTTGCTCAACTCTACCTGGTCGAAGGCGAGTCGAAGGTCGCACCAAAGTTTTGTCGCCCATCCATTGAAACCATTGATATGAGTGGGTGGTTTGTTCAAGTGTGCTCGAAATGAATCCCAAATAGGTTCTTCAGAAACATGACACCTAGACATACCATAGATCAATAGCTGCTCTCTTTCGATCTTTTCACTCTCTGACTCATCCATCTCCTGTGACCTCCTCCCCCTTCAGCCACTCCACGTGGACTCCTCCAGCTTCACCCGTGCTTCGCAACAAAGGCCGAAGGCATGTTGCAGATCGGCGGCCTGCGACGTGATCGAAGACGTCGGATCTCAGTGCCTTCACATGGGCAGAGTGGCTTCTGAATGGCTTCTGATGATCCAACTGCTTCTGAACGTTCTGAATGGCTTTCAAACAATTCCCTGCGCAGAGTGGAACTTGGTGGTGAATCGAACGAGAATGGGATTGACATATAGTCATGGGCCTTCTTGTTCTCAATCAACATGATGCTTGGTGCATGCTTCCAGAATTTCAAGTTGCAAGGTGCCACAATAGAATGTGGAGGATATCGATTGTAGTAAGCCAGTCAGTTGTGTCCCCCTCCAGCACTTCTTGCAGGATTTCTACTTTTCTAGATGAAAAACATCAACACACATTCTAAACGTTGGACGTCGGCTCTGAACCGGTTTTCTGCCATCTGAGACTTGTAGAACCTTTTTCAAAACCCCATTCCCGCAACGATTGCAGCCGCCTTCTCCTCCAAGCGCTTCTGCAGCTGCAGCCTTGCTCTGGGCTTGGAGCGTTTTCGCGTCCGGCCTCGAGCGTCAGGGCCTCGAGGGACACAACGCACATGGGTGGCACTGCCATGACTGGCACGTGAAACCACAGGACATGTCTGAGGTGTTTTCTGAAGTGTTGTCTGAGGTGAAGACTCCCATTGGTGGCACTGTCCAGTGAGGTTTCCAAGATGCTGAGGCCACATGACATCTTTCTGGAATTCCTAAACGACATGAGGTATCCTCGCAAGACCGAACAAAATGAATAAGTTCTGTTGACACATATATGTTACGTTTACAGGTTGACATGTTCTTTCTGGTTTCTTCACAGTGTTTGCACCTCTGTACTGTTCCCGCGTGAAATCCGAACGCAGAACTGGGTTTACCACAGCCATTAGACAGTAGACCCGCCACTACTTACAGGTTGCTGCTCTGTGCAGGATAAGAGAGGCGCCCTTCCGCTATAACACTACTAGCTAGGAGCAACCAAACCCTAGAAAAAAGACGACCTTTTCCGAAAACCCATGTTTTGGCATACAAGACGACAAAAACCAAGTTTTTCATCGAGCAACTCGATTTGTCATGTTCTCTACCTGTATTACATATCCACTGTAAAACCCGTAACCCGTTAGAAACCTGTCTTTTGTGAATTTCAAGACTCTGACTCTGACCCTGCATTTTTCTTGGTTTTAGATGGTCTGGGTGTCTCAGTCTTGCTAGTCCCCAAAGGCAACATTCAAACTGCAGCTTGTGCCTCAAATCTTTGATTTCCCGTGACGCCTCCTTCGATCGACGTTTTCACCGGCCCCGTCTCCTTCCGAAGGTGGTAGCGGTGGCGGAGGTGGCTTCTTCTCATTCTCTTTCCTGCATGGAATGGGTTTTCGGGAGGATTCTCGGCTCGGAACAATTCGATCCTGTGAAATGGCATGGGCGATGGAAGGGCCAAGCCAGCAAGTCGCGAGTCGCGAGCGCGTCTCGATAATGATTTAATTCTGATGGACGGATGGATGTCATAATGTATGCATGTCATACATCTTGAGTCCGATGGTCAAATGATTCCTCATCTTCTGTATTCAAATTGGGCGTAACGGTCGCCACTGACTTCAAGTTTCACACCAAAAGCTACAAGTTGGCCGTGAAGGATTGTGAAGGCAAACTCTTCAAACGCCAAAAAGCACGTTCACTCGCGGGCACCGGATTTCTCACGAAACCTTTCCACCGTTCGGTGGACGTGCTGGCATCGACCGTTCAATCTCCCAGACTCAAAAATTGACCAGAGTTGTTCTTAAAGGGCCAACCGTGGAACCATATATAAGCCCCCATTAAAAAACAGAACGGCAGGCCCTGAGAGTGCAGTTTTTTTCTATTTTTCATTTGTTCTTAGGCCTAGATTTTACTACAGAAACTGCACTCCCAGGGTGGCAGCAGGCAAGGCAAAGCAATATTTGATTTTATGTCATTGTGTCTTAAACTCACACCCCCAGCAACACCTGCTCTCTGGAATTAATTCAACTTGAGAGGAGGGAGACACGAAAGGTAGGACAGCGGGAAGAGAAGAGAACGCGAGGGGCAGGAACAAAATGCAATGTTCGACATGGTGATTTATCCCCTCGGAGGCGACCTTTCGTAAATGTTCATATGCACTCTAAATGTTCAAACATATGCTCTCGAAATGTTCAAAAAGGTTCTTAGGAAAACAAACTTGCCCCATGGCTCAGATCATCGGTGAGCATTGAATCGGAACATCATAGGATTTGAACTATCCTGAAACCATAAGAGGCTCACGAAGACGCTCCCCAGGAGAGAATTGACGTGCTTCACAAAACAAACTCTAGGTATGTATCCCCTCGGGGAACACCTTTCGTGATTAGAATTTCATATTCACTCTTTCTAAATGTTCAAGAGGGTTTCAACTATCCTGAAATCATGAGAGGCTCACGAAGACGTTCTCCAGGAGAGAATTGATTTTAGAGGGGGGGAGGGGGGGGGGGTCTGAATTGAGCGATCAATTATTAGACCCGGACGTCCCAACACTTGCTTCGCAAGACAAACTCAAGGTATCCCCTAAAGGGCTACCTTTCGTGATAATCAAAGGTTGACAATCAAAACATCATATTTGTTCTAAGAAATATGAGATTTGACCCTATAGTGGTTATGCCAAAGTTTTACTATACCTTAGTCTAAAGAACATTTTAGCTTTTGCAGTAAAGGTACCCTTCTCACACCCAATTGTCTTGCCAAACTCTCACCTTCTAGCTCTGCCATCACAAGAAGGCCAGACTCAAAGGCAACTGGACACTATATAGATGCTGATAAGCCACAAAACTATACATGTCAAATGACTTAATGGAATTCTAAAAAAAAAAAAAACAGAACCGTAGGAGCTACGGGCAAACCAGGACGGCGTGCGGGTGGGTCTTTGGACGCCTTGACTTTGCGCTGGCCAGGAGCGATGCCCTAGTAGCGCCCTTGCTCCTAGTAGTAAGGCCGGGAGCCCCTAGTAGCGTTCTTGCTCCTAGTGGTTAAGTGTCCCTAAACATCTAGGAACCAAATCATTCGCGCGAGCTATCCTGCGTCCTGTCGGTAGTAGCTACTTGTAGGTACTAGCTACCTCTAGCTACCTAGCTACCTCTCTAGCGGCCTACCCCTTTAAAGAACGGTACGTAGCGTTCTTGCCCCCAAAACCTGACGTTCATAGCTTTCTTTTTTCGCTGGGCCCCCGCGCTTGATCTTGCTCCGCTCGGCTGAAGAGCCGGGTCTCACGTCGGACTTGCTCACCGCTCGGTGGATGGCCTGCCGGTCGAGCCGTCGGGTGTCGAATTCAGTGGTGACACATCGAGTGTCCTTGATACAGTTGAGATACGCGTTGAGCATATCATATAGATAAAGCCAGCCGAATAGATAGAGTGAGTCCCCGACCTTTGGACCTGTAGAAAGTCCGTCCTTCGACGGGTTCCCGGAATGAAGAGAATGAAGCTGGTCAGCAAGTCATTTTGGATCTAGAGTCTAGATCAGCCTGATATGCCAATGCGGAACGCCCATTCTCATTTCTAGGCACATCGGCAGTTCGATTCACACTTGTGGTAGAACCAATCCTCTATAATTATATATGTCTGGCTAGCGTCCCAACACACACACACATCATCATCTTATGTAATGCTCGAACAACCCGGATCTTTCCATGAACCCGAGCCGCCTGCTTCACCCAAACTAATCGACGCGGAACAGACTCAGCCTCATTCCATCGGTTTGGTCAGCTATTTCAAACTTGTATCCGTTAATGTCTCAGTTGCTTGTATTTATTCCATTTAGCGGTGTGCTTATGTGTGTTTTATATTAAGTTGTTCACTATGTTTCCAGTGAGAGTGTTGGGTCCATTCCTGCCAACATCTTGGCGGCAATCATCTCCTTCGTCCACGTTTGAAATCCACTCCTTCTGGCGTTCACATTAGTAACAAAGGGCATCGCTACTAAGAGCAAGGACGCTATTTGTAGCTCCTGGCATCGCTACTAGGAACACATTGTGTTCACTTCCTTCCTGTGGACATGCAGACTCAGAGTCGCCTTGCCTCAGACCGGCTCGGTGCCACTCTGAGTCTGCGACGGCAGGAAAGCGTAGCTCGGATGGACTATGAGCCTTCGGGCCTCAACGCGGCTTCACATGGATGTAGGAATCAAACGATTGGCAGGAAGGAGACACATGATGAAAGTTTCTTCGTTTTGACGTTTTTGTTGCATTGCTCTTAGAAATGATGGCGAACCCCCTGACAGTTAGTTGGTCGTTAAATACATGGTTCCACACTTTGTTCCGGCAGCGCAGCTGGATAACCCAATGATCAGGAGTACTGCATTCTTAGCACAAAGGAAACTTACTTGCAACACACATCCAGAACTAGGAGCTAAATGGGTCTCCAGTTTTGCCGAGCCAAGACTACTTGGCAAAACAGGGCAGTTGTGACAGCTTCACTTGACACAAGCAGTATATATACTGTATATATATATGGAGCTAATTAGAGTCCTGATGTAGTTAGTATACAATAATATAATGGGAATGAACAGTGCCGTAAACTATATCTGCTTCCATCTCCAAATATTACCGAGTCGTGGTATCTGTCGGCACCAGGAAAGAATAGGGGGGGTCGGTTTGGTCTAGCGATTGCTTGTACATTTGGGTAGCCCCTCTATTTATCGCCCAACAAACAGCCAAAGGCCATCTATGGTTGGTGCGGTCAAACATGCCTGTCTGCGACCGGGCTGAGGGCATAGCACTTGCAGTTAAAATCTCGAGCGCTGGCGGAATGGCATCCAAAACGGGCGGCACGTGCCTGTGGCGCCGTGCCGAGCGATCAGAGACCGACGGATTGAGGATTGAGAAGGCCAGTCTGCTTTCCCTGCATCATGGACGTGTGATGTGTATGTGGATAGGGAAACCTACAAAATCTATGACTTGGTTGGGGGGTCTCCCTAGTCCAAGACTCCAAGACACCAAGCTACAGCTGCAAGAACCATGCCAAAACCCCCCTATCTTTCCACCGAACGTCGTGCTCCCCTCGTACCTCTGAGGCAGCCCTACGTCGCTCCAGCACCGATTGGCAGATCTGCCGTCGAAAGGGCCTGAAAGGTCCGAGGGGCGGCACGCCATCCGTCGGGTGCGTCTCCCGACGCATCCGGAAGGGCCTGACACCATGGCAGGGGTCGGACCCGACACCTTCGGCAGGGGTGACCCTCAAAACCCCTATGTATTGGAGGGCCCGGATTCTTTGGGTTAGATATATCACGTGTTTCTCTTTCCGGGTGAATATCTTGCTCTACAGGAGATGTTTCTCAAGGACCTCCGAAGACTTGACGACAAAGCATCGGCCAAAACCATGGCACCCATCAAAACCACAAAACGATCCGAAAAGCCCTGGAAGAAAACAAACAAGACCAGGTCTGCACTCATCAAAACAAACAAGACCAGGGGTCCGACCCATCAAAACCGCCCATCTGAAACCATGGCCAGGCCTCATGTTCGACCCGGCCTCTCCAGCCACCACATCTTCCCACCCTCCCCGGCCTCTCCAGGAGCCGGACAGCTCCAAAGGACGCTAAGGATTGACCCAAATGCTCCAAGTGATTCTTTTGCTTCTCCTGTGCTACCGGTGCTACGGCCACGGGCCGTCAATAAAGGATTCAACCAAAGGGCTTGAGTTGCTTTTGGTGCTCAACATGTGCTTCTCCTGTGAAGATCCATCTGAGTCATTCCAGCTGTTATTTTTATTTTTGGCGTTTTGCTCTCAGTATGTGGGGAGGATCCAAACCGATCCCGATCTTTTTTTCCGGGGATTTGGCAAGGAGGTTTTGGTGACATATCCCCTTTTGAACCGTTTCCTCGAGGCAATCTGTCCAACAAAGGCCAGATCGAGATGTCATCCTCAATGTCATCCAACCCAACCATCAAAACGAATCAATGCCTGAATGCACAATGCGGATCAATGCCACCCTTTAGGCATTTCACGGCACTTCTGATGAGATCTGAGTGCCAACACCCTCAACCACAGTTTCCAAATAACACAATGTCAAAAACGTGTCACACGGTGATGATCGGGGGTGGAACTGTGTCGCCTTCTTCTCCAGGTCACTGATGATCTTTTCTGCGAGCTCACGCGCCTGGACAGACTGGAACGGTCCGTCGTCGTTGTCGCGTGAACGGACGAAGTGGGACCAGGTGGAAACAGGACCATTCTCTTGATACTATGGAGTCATGGATGATACTATGGATGATCATGGATGTCTTTGGATTGCACGGGCACAGAATTCGGTCACTCTTACCATCTTTGGTCTACCAAACAGGATCCTTGGTAACTCTCTGACACCAAAAGATTCACCGGGGCCCCGTCCTCCAAGAGGAGTCCAAACTCCACCTTGTTGTCGAAATTCTCCTGGAGCTCATGACAGTCGAGCAGCTTGACTCACTTGAGCTAGGAAGATGCATGGTCTCTAAGCCGCTTTGGATGTGCGAACACCACCTCACGGCCTCTTTCGAAGACCGAAGTGCAGCAAACGTCTGGAATCGTGCCAATCTCCTCCGGCGGCCGACTCTTGTCCGCGTTCATCTCTTCTGCAGCTTCCTTTTTGGCCTGTTTGAAGATTCTGTACCAACCAGTGCGAGTGGTCAGACGGTCATGCGCCAACATGCTCAAACATGCCCTTCTAAACACAACGTAAGCATTTGGCGCAACCTATGACGGTGGTGCACGGAGGTTCGTCGCAAAGAAAGATCCAAAGCGCAGGCTCGTTGGGCTGCCAAAAAGGCAGCGATGAGACCGAACACACCCATTCGAAGCACGTCCAAGAGATGATTTTGCCTTTGTTGACTGGCAGTGGCCAGCAAACAAAACAGTGGAGCCTCTCGTCACTGCACTGTTCGGACATAGGCAACATCTACTGTCGCTTAGCTCCCAAGCTGTTTCCGGGCACCCGGCAGAAGCAGATCTGCTCTTTCTGCAGGCCATTTTAACAGTGTCCATCCTGCCTTGGCCCTGATGATTTCTTTCATCTTTTGACACCTGTGCACCTGGCGTCACGTCATCCAGCCCCCGATTCGCCCAAAAACCGGAGCCAGCTACCGACCCAATTGGTGGGCCTAAGTGATGCCGGGCCGACCGCAGGGGCCTCGTGTTTGCCGCAATAGAAGCCCGAGCAAAACTTGCACCTGGGACCCAGGTGCAGGGGACATGGGTTGCCATCGGGTTGCCATGGGGTTGCCATGGAAAAAGGAGAGAAACGTATCACGTGGATGTTGTGGGATGCAAACCAAGTGAACAAACCCAGCCATGAGTGCATCTTGAGTGCTGGCACTCCACTACTCTCCACTCGCATCATCTGGGTGTGTGTGGTGCCAAAAAAGGGTGAGATGTACCAAGCTAGGGACCCCCCAGTGTTAACTAAACGCTTTCGAGTCTTCAACTTTAAATTTACGGTGCTTGGGGGCTTGACACGAGGCAATCTTTCGTCTGCCATGAGGATCTTCAACATGACCTTGAAAGCAATTCTCTTGGCCTTCAAGGCCAAATTGTAGCGTCTACCAAAGTGCATCATCTGCGTGGCAACATAAACCCAACTCTATTTCCGCCTTGATGTCTGTAACCTGCCGAAGTGCTGCAGGTAAAGTTCTCATGGTCATGCGAAAGGTGCTGATGTGACCCATACGTGCGCATACTGCCATCCATATTGGCTTGGGCACCCCTATCAAGGGCTGCTCCTCATACCCTCAAAGGATTCTCCTCCAAGCTTTTTTCTGAAAGTGTGTCTCACAACTGACAAAAATGGATCTTTCGAAACATGTCACTTGTCAGTTTGTATAAGACCTTGCATTGTACGAGGCGGTTCTTCCTCCGTTAGAAATGATCAAAACTGTCCTGAAGCAGGGTTGCTTGTCGATTGCCAATTTTCCGATGTACCTTTCGCGGTTTCAAGATTGGTGAGCAACACTCTTTCATCCTTCCTGCCAGAACATGCCAGAACTACTTTTTGTTTTCAAAGCATCTAGTACTGTAGATGATCCTCATGCAATCATTCTGCCCATCTGATGCCTGCGTGCCGAATTGGCACCATCCGCCGCCTGGGTGTCCCGACTTGTCGAGATTTCGCAACTTGTCCAACTTTTGCCCGCAGCCCTCGTGGTGACACCGAAAGCGATCCAAGATCTGCTGCACCTCCGCGTCGTCTTGTGTCTCGATGGAAGCTTGGGCAGTTACCGGCATGTTCCTCCAAATGAAACTCATTGGTAGAACAAGTAGAAAGCAAGAATCCTGAACATGTTGTTTGTGTAGATTAATAACTTATATTATACAGTTAATTTTATATCATTCTATCTGAGTCTTTTATGTTTCTGAGAGCAAAGCTCTCGTGTGACCGAATTTAATCAGCACCATCCGCCAAATATGCCCATGACATGGTTTTAGTCGAAACATGCGAAACTCATGGGACTTCACCTAAAATATCCCCAAACATCCCCAAACAGGATGGCTGAAGACAATCTCCACTCCTTTAAAAAATACAGTCCGGCATGTCCGTTGGATGTCCCATGTCCGGTGATGGACCGTGACCATACCAGTGACGCCGAACGAACTGAGCTTCCGGGCCCCGAAGCTGCCTTGGTGTCGCTCCCACGACACATGTCCGCAGACGGGCGAGGACCGTGCGTGGAGCGACCGGGCGAGGGGTGGTCTTCACCATGTGAAGAGGGTGTGAAAGGTTGGAGGAAGAAGAGTCTGACCGAATCACAAAGGATCTGATGGGAAACGAGTCCTTGTGAGTCCTTGCTCTTGCGACCGGAATCAAGCCGGAGCCAGGCTAGCCTGATGTTTCTTCGCGCCTTCCTGGCTTTGCTCACTCAGGACTCAGGACTCAGGATCCCCACTTTTCAGCTTTGTCAGGGCGTCGTTCAAGGCCCCTGCGAGGCAAAACCAACCTCTTCCCTTTGCTTTTGTCTGACAGAAAAATCAGCGTTCTGTGACAGTCTGAAAAGAGCTCCTGCAACGACCGACTGAGAAGGAACACGACCGTTGGCATTGTCAGGTTGAAGTGGCTGCCATCAGAGGCGGCGGGCATCCAATCGTGTCCACGTCACGCCTTTGTAATACAGCGTCTTGGCCTGCGAGAGCAAGTGAAGCCGATGCCTTAGGAGAATCATGGGAGCTCACAACATGTGTGTCTCATGAACATCTGTTTCTTGTACCTCACAACATTGCTGTGCATGGTCCATGAAGACATCTGCATTTTTTTGATGACTCCCAGACCAGAAGACCGTATTCGTCGCTGCGGCTCGGGTTGGAAGCCTTTGCATCCTTCAGCCTGGCGGAAAAGACCTGTGCATCCTTCACTCGTAGCCGCCTCGGACGGACGCGCTACGCTCACACACTCAGATTTGCACGGGCTCTCCTCCTGGAATCCCTCTGGCAGGTGGCTCATGTAGAAGCCCGTGCGCCAGGAAAAACATGAGGTACATCAAGGCTGCATTGAAGATAGGACCACCCACCCACAGGAGAAGAACTATGGCAGTGACAAAGGACAGCAGGAGCCATCTCTGCATGGGTGACAAGACGACTCCGCCAATCTTGGGCGCCCAATCTGGATCTTCATTCTTCTTCAAGAACAGGACCTCAGACGGACCAACATCGGAAAAACAAACCTAGAAAGTACGCAAAACACAACAAAACACCATATTGTTCCTTCTTTCTTTCTCATTCTAAGAACAGGACCCAGGTGATCACTGTGACCATGAGGCACATCAGTGCAGAGGGCTGCGTCAAGATCGAGAGGACCAACTCTGCCACGAACAAAATGGCATAGTTGGTCTGAAAGTGGAAGACATTCGCCGACAACCGGGAGCAACCCTCATTGGCCGAGGGCATTGACAGCGGCCACACAAAGTCTCGCCAGGGCTGAGCCATGGAGAGAAAATTGCTGGCCTTGTCCTTGACAGCTCCTAGAGATGATGGCGGCCCTTCTCCGGAACCGAGGCTAGCTTTCAAGATGCCTTGCAGCCCAGCGAGACGACTACCTAGAAGACCAGCTAGCACCGCTGCACGAAAGCCGGAAGTCTCGTCCCCCTTCTGCGTGTTTGGCTCCGAAGTTGGCTCCTCGTTCCCGAAGGACATGGTCTGTGGCTGCAGGTTGACTGTATTGGTCGTGCCATTGAAGAAGCCTTCCAACTCGGCATCAAACTTCATGTCATCCAAGAATTGATCCGCCATCCTTTTGTCCAAAGAGGACGGAGTATAGAATTGTATATTGCCTTCTCTTGAGCCAGTTTCCAGGAGACATTTCGAAATGAATTCGTCATGGCAACGAAAGCAACAGAGTGGTAAATAGGTTTGCAAAAGAACATTCTGAACAAACCAGCACATACCGGCGCACATGCCAGTCCTCCCTCAAAATCACCAGTTTGATCTATATACACCTCTGCGCAAGCAGAATCTGCCTGTGAGTCGAACAGAGTTGAACTGGGTGCCAGGCACACGATACTTAGGATATTTGTGACCTTCGTAGTTCGTGCCAATGTCCTGGCAAACGTTGTCGCGCAGAACAACGTAGAACTCTGCGAAAAGGCGCAGAACAGCGCGAGTCACAACCAAAATGCTGAACAGCGAATTCAGGAAACGCTTTGAGGACTTGGTGTTCATGAGCAAGCAAAACGGTCCAGCCTTGAGGAAGTCATCGATATCAGTCATCTCAGCAGTAAAGAGGAGTGAGATTCATTGACATGAGAAGACCATTCCCTGCTACCTCCCCCAAGGACCCCTGTTGTGCTAGACCCATTTCCATGATCTTCGGGAGGGTATGGCATTGGGTTCTTGAGTAGTGAATTGCCTTTTGGCAAGGAGAACATGAGACCGCAGTGAAGCCAAGCTATTGCTGCACGCGATTGCACTCAACTTCGACGTCGAAGTTTCATTTGCCGCCGGACGGCCCTCTCAGCCGATTCGAACTTCTTTGGGGCGAACGGAAACTTGAAACAACTGCCGCCAGTGAAGGACTTGGAAGTTTGGCTTGTTTCACTCAACTTGCTGGGCCTTCTGACTATGTCCGGATCCATACCCTTGTATTTAAAGCGCTCCACGTCAAGGACATGCTTCGGGACATTTGCGGCCTTGGCGCACTGCGCCGCGTATGCCCGCAGGCCGGAAAGGTTGAAAAGGAAGAGTCTGGAGCGATACCTTTTCATTGGCCTACCCTGGGGATCTTGAGGAATAGCAACCAAGTAAGGGAACACATGAGAACAAGCTATAGTTCTATTATGTTCTATCCGCGCCGCAGCCATGTAAACTGAAGTGAATTCATCCGCCCTTATCTTTGCATCCAGTCGCATTCCTTGGTCGCGGTATCCCCTCACACTTTGATGTCCCTTTCGAAACGATCCCAAAAGCAACACTACAAGCGAAGAAGAGGGGACCAAAGGAGAAACTGAAGAAAAGGGGAACCGGCGCAAGAATCTAACCCATGGAAAAAGATATCACTATTCCGTTGTTCCGTTTCTTGATATGAGTTCAGAAAGGTCATCTTAATGAACAGGAATTAACTTCAAACTTGACGAAAAGACCTTTGCAAGAGTTTGCAGCAGTCTCAGGGCTCGGAATTGTGGAGGAGACATAAGAATCATAAGACTTACATGAACATTGAGGACCAGAAAGTACCTTTGGTGGTTTAAACTTCAACCCATACCTCTGGAGCAAAGCATATGTGCTCACCTAAACAAGGCAAACACACAAGCGCAAACCATGTCCTTCAGTGAGCGCAAAGGCAAAGCCAAGGCTCCCGCTGCCTGTGGGTGGAAGGTGCACTCGCGAGCATCCTCCCCCTGGCGAATATCAGGGATGCCAAGGAGTGCATCGTTGATCGTCAAACTGTGCAATTGGACACAATTGATGTTTGTTTCTCTGCCAGGGCATAGCAAACTTTCGCCTCCAATCTCTGTGTTTGCAGGGGTTCAATAGCTTGAGCAAATCAACACCAGGCTTGGCAATGTTTGAAGTCTTTGCAATCCTTTGCATTTACAGTATATAGATATTGGAGAAAGCAGGGGCTCCAACCCGGGGGTCATGTTTGAAGCCTTGCTACCCACTCCAATCAAACCAACTGCGCCTTGGCAAAGATCCTCTGGCGTAAGGCCATGGCTTCATCCGTGTGCAGGACGTGAAACTCCTGAGGAGTTTAGGGCAATATGAGACACCGACCTGCCTGGTGTGGAAGGTGAAAGAAAATACAGGGTGAGCCCTGCTTTGGATGAGGAACATCTGGGGATGTTGGCAAATTGACCCAGCTTTTGTTCTTCTTCAAGACACCCGACCATGACCAATGAACCAAATCATTGGTGCAAGTGCTTCTTCAAGGAAGCGTGAACTATCCTGCGTCCTACCTAGAAGCTAACTTAGCCTAGTAGCTTACCTCCTTACTTAATTAAGTAGGCGCCAGTAAGGAGGGGAGCGGGCTAAACAAAAGGGGAAGGGACTGGACTGACCAATGACTCTGTTTGGACTACAACGGCACTAAGTGTTGGGTCTGACAACTGTGGTGTCCCAAGGCCATGCACTAAGTGTCCTTCTTGTCCTTCACAGCCATTTTCAGCAATGCCTGCAAGAACGGCAAAGCCGAGCTATTGATTGTAGATATGACGATATAGTTGGCAATCGATTTCTCAGTCAGGCTGGTGGTTTTTCAATGTTGGAAGTGTTGCTGATTACACCGCATGACTCTAGAGTCACCGTTTCAAAAGGGAAGCCAGTGCGAGCCTACATCAAACAAATTCATCGACAAGTCAGTGGATTCTTCGAAGCTGGTCACCAGGCCCAGGATCACCCAGTCGCCCCTCCCCCGATTTCTGCAGCACCCGGAGGTCGTCCCCCTTGAAGTCATGGCTTTTCTGCAAATGTCTGACCTCACATCAGAGCGGGAACTGTCAAGCACTTGGACAAAGGAAGTGTCCAAAAACGTTTTGAAAGTTTGAAAGAGGCTTTTCGTCATTATGAAACATGTGAAACGATAAATTGAATTGCTGGTGCAAGCAGGCAGCAAAACCAAAATTGAAAAAACTTGAGAGAGCATTGGATACAACAATTTCATCTTTACTTGTTGCACCCCATACCTATATTCATATACGGTACTACAAACCTTTAAATGCTTTAGGGTTTGACCTGCAAGCTGTGCTCCACTCGTTCCATTCTGTATGCGTTTGGGCCACCACACCAGATCCATGTTGATGACCATGTTGAAGCTTTGGCCGTGCACGGCTGTAGACCAAAACCTTCAGCGGAACCGATTGACTCTCATAGCCCAAGCGCTCAGTATCGGCCGACCACTCCACATGCTTGTCCACATGCTTGCCGCCGGACCGACAACCCAAAAACGCGAACCGACGACGAAACAAGTCTCAGACCATGACCAGAAAACGACCCTACCCTGCCAAACCCTCCACTCAACGCATCAAGCAAACACTTTTCAAAGTTTCCTGGCCGATAGAGTCAAAACGTGTGAGAGTTCACAAGTTCAGTGCTTTATTGGATGTCCTGTTTTCTTGGCTTGCTGCAGGTTGAAAGCTTTATGAGTAGGAGCGGGTAGGATGCTGTTTTTTGCAGGGGTTCTTTCAGTTCTTTCACCTTGTAAGAAGCGAGAGAGCAGGATGATCTCTCACTTTTGCCATTCCAAACAACAGCTGCATCATGCCGGGAATGTGGTACTAGAAAGCGCCACTGGACCTTGGAGTTCGTGCTTTGCGGAAACTTGGCCTGGTGGCCAGGAAGAGTACTGGCTGAGAGTGCTTCGGCATGTCAACCACACGATCATCTGCACTGGCATGGCGCGCGCAATCCATCAAGCAAACAGTGCCTGTCAGTTCACCTGCCGTTTGTGCGGCGTCCAGGCCCTGATTCTTGCAAGAACAGGAACCCCGTCTCAAAGCTCTTGAGCTTGCGAACTGTACGCAGCAGACTTCTTGAGCGGAGTCCGCCTGAACAGCAAGCTGGTGGCTGGTCCTGTGGGACCTTCCAGCATTGTTGGACTGCTAGCAGGCCGGGATTCTCCGCAATTTGGGTTGATTGGTGCCGAGATCTTTTCACTTGACAACTGTCTGGATGAGCTGAGTAGGACTGTGACCAAATGTCTCTCAAAGGTCGTGGCAGTAGGGTCTTGAACCCACTGGCAGGCATCTTGAGCGAAACAACTGCAAAAGGTTGAGATTGAGACTCGAGACCTGCTTTGCTCACTCCCTCTGGCTGAAACATCTACTCGACTGCAGCAATTAAGACCCTTCTTGGTCGTAGTCAAGTCCTAGGATGACACTAGTCTCGTCATCCAATCGCCCCCAAAAAACATCGCCTTGCTCGAAACTGGCCTGGGCACCGCGGAAATGCTGTGGGCCTTCTTCGCTTTCCTGCCGAGGGGTGCTGGACAGGCCGCGCAATAGGCTGCAATGAAGACATAGGTGGGCTCACTTGTGAGTCGGCAAAGAATTGCAAACATGTATTGACTCATGCTTGAACGTCACAGCATTCACAAGAAAACAATATTGAGAATACAGACTGAGGGTCTCAACAGAATGTGATTCAACATCTGCACCATTGAACTCCTTAGCATGCCTCTTGGCTTTCCCTGCGCCTCTATATTCAGTCACTTGATAGTTGCATCCATCACCCCTGAACAGTAAACACCATTGAAAATAGCATATACTATATAAACCATTATAAAGCTTACCTTCACTGGGGATGGACCTAGGTCCTTAGGATCAGGCCTAGGTCCTAGGTCCAGTTTCTGACACCAAACCACTCTCTTCGCCGCACAAAACGACCTCTCGAGCTTCCGGAAGATTTCCAGGAAACGCTGCCGGAACAACGGCGGAGCCAAGCGCCACACCTCGACGAAAAGGTGCGGCTTTTCACCCGCGCGTTTTTCCATCTCAGGTGCTCTCCGAGTGAGCTCAGAAACCGGAAACATCAACAGGAAGACTTCTGGCAGTGTCTCTTTGGGCGCAGACTTTCCAAAAAGAAAAGCCGGATCTTCCTTTTTTGTGCGGGGTTCGGGTTCGGCCCAGTCCAGGTCCCGCCTTCACGACGCCCACACAAAGGGACAAGGCCTACCGGGGGCGACGCGGCGAAGGTGTCCGGACACGGGCCAAGCGCAGTGATTGTGCACCGCACCTTGAAGGATGGTACCAACACTGTTTGGCAAAGGACTCAAGATGACTCAAGTGAAATTCCAGCGATGACAGTGATGACATTGAACGGAGGGAATGCCTTCCGCGAGGTATTTGGATGCCATCTTGATGAGTGGGATGGCAACCAACAAATAACGTGCTGAGGGTGAAAGAAACCACCGACATGGTTCCCAGGCAAAAGACCGATGGTCAGTTCTGCACCGGGCTGAAAAAGCAACAGTGGGTGTCACCCCACCTTGCCGTCCACTTGTGGCCAAGCACCACCAGCAAAGTGCAAGCGAACCTTTGCTGAAAGCCAAAGAGAGTGGAGGACGTAATGGACAAAATCTATGGCTATATAGAATGGTTGATTCCCCCTCCCATTTACAAGCTAAAGGAACCAGGGGGGCCGACCCACGCTATAGATTTTGTCAAATCCTCATGTGATGACACATCCCACCATTTCACCTCACCGCTCAAAGTGACAAACGAGTCTATGAAGCTTCACAATGAACTCAGCTCACCACATGGCGGGCGACAAAGAAGCCAGGAACCTGGAGATTTCATGTGCCAAGAAGCCTTCAACATGCTTCAACTATCAATCACGGACTTCGATCTACATGGATACTTAGGCTTCCAGTCCATGGAAACTCCCAGTCCATCTAAGCTCTCATTATGATTCTGTGCCGACTTCTTAGCCTGGCATTGCATCGCACCCATCCGCACTTCTCGCCATGCGACCAATCTGTTTGGATCTCCTTCCAGTGACCCACACCAGGTCGTGAGGCCAGGTCCAGCGCCCCTAACCACTCCAGTTCTGGACCCACCTTCGCCAAGTCCCCACCTTCCCACTCAGACTCCGACCACGTTGGGCTTCTCAGAGATGGTGATCTCCTGCGATCCATCCGCTCGGTGCATCCGGTGGTGGGGTCGGATGCAGCATGCTTCCGGGCTTGGGAGGAGTATCTTTGGAATCGCTGTCCGGTCTAACAGCGTAAGAATCATGATGACGTGGATGGCCCCTGGCCCCTGGAAAGACCATGGTTTTTGCGAATACAAACGGATGCCATCCACGGGTTTCATGTTTGTTGGACGGTAGGGAAGTTGGAATTGTGCGGCTTGAAGGGCTCAGAACAAGACAGATATAAAGTGATGATCTCCCGCAGCGAGAGTTGCCAAAACATCGCTCCTGCTGTTGGATTTCCTCAAAGTTCGTCCCAGCTTTGCACGCCAACACGGTGACCTCACCAGTCAGAACTCCAGACTCGCCGACGTGGATGACTCTGAGCGATTCGACACGGCAAGACACAAGCTACGTTGGCTACCGTGCAGCTGCCAAACACTCCTTACAAATAACATCTGATTACATTGAGGGAACTCCCATCCGAATCTTTTCCGACTATCTTGGACGACTCTTTAGCGGGAGGAAACTCATGTAAAACCCAAGGACATGGGTCAGATTGGTTTGCTTCCTTGGTCTGGGGCATCAGTTTGGCTCTGTGGCTCTTACATAAACTTCCCCAGGCAGCTTCGTGCATTAGCGCGGTTGCTTACAACAGCATGCCGCGCGAGTAGCCCGTGCCTGTAGCTTCTGCTTGGTGATATGAAGGCCCTGCTGTTGTGGTGCCTTCAGTCAGCTGCTCGGGTGAGATATTCTATTCACCGAATTGAGCTCCGCGAGAAAGGCGAGTTTGCATGTGACCGGGGACCAGGTAGCACCGAATTAGCAGTGGTCCGCAAACATGCTGAAAGCAAACCATGTGCTCAACAAATCAACGTTGTGCTCTCAACTAGGAACATGTTCGCTAATAGGAGCATTTCGGGCATCGCTACTGGGAGCAATCGGACGCTACGAACGGGACCAGGTCCCGCGGTCGTGACAGTTGGACCGGACCGACCGACTGGCGCTGTCTCCGTTGGTGCCTTGAAAAAGAAGCGCACTGGTTCTTGAACCGCCTCTTCTTGTAGCTGTGTCAAGACTGCCATAGGTGGCAGCCTGGCCAGTTTGATTTTGGTAGGAGAAATGACTAATCAAAGCTGTGGAGGCATGCCCAACAAAGAAAGCAATTGCATGTCATACATGTCCGACTCTGTTTCTGTGTGCTAGAAGTTTGAGAGATTGACTTCGCATTCTCTGACTTCAGCCAATGCACTGGCTGTATATATGTCCTTGCTATCTTTGACTAGCTGCTGGTCTTTGTAAGCTCCCTGATAGACTCTCACAATCTCATGCAGTCCCCTCTGCCACTATTGGGCTGCCCAACTCCAGGAATGCAGCATCACCATCCCCCCCTGCATCGAGTTGGAGCACCTTAGTTGGACCAATAGCTGAAATTCCTGGATCTTGCCAAAGAGCTCAATGAAAACAATGGCAAATCCCTGCATCGAAACTTGAAATTCGCAAGTAACACGTGTTTGCTTCTTTTTATGCGTCACGCAGCCATATGGTCTTGCCAGTAGCCTACTGAGTTTCAAGAGAAACCACATCAATATCATCATATACACCCAGAAACACACCCTTTGAATCCCTTTGACCCCTTTTTCGACACAAAGAGTTGGCAGCCTCCCTGTCTATATCGCCCAGAAACATCTCCCGGCAGCACTCCAGCCAAGAAAGCTGGTCCGCCTTGGCCGACCTCAACGCGGACGTCGTCCGAGGTGTTTGGCGCGACGAAAAAGCCCAATCAATCGGATCAGAAGACGTGGCAGGAACTAACTTGTCTCAAAGACGCAGGTTGCTACGCACTGTTGCTGCCTTTTTGTTCACTTTTGTGAAGAACAAGTCGGACTCCTGAACTTGGACTCCGCCGTCTTTTTCTCTTGCATGGTTGGATGATGTTGGATGTATTCTTTTTTCAGGCGGCGGGAGGCGCCAAGAGTACGACTTGATCACTCCTCCGAGTCATCTGTGATCATCTATGTCTGTTCTTGCAAGCAGTTGGAGAAACATCTGGCAAAAAGATGAGATAAACATGACTTCAACAGCATACACATTGCAGAGTGCAGGGTTTCGCTTTTCCGCAATTATTGGTCGTTACATGTCCTTACTGGAATAGTCTACAAACCAATGTTTCCTCAAACGGTTCAGTCTGTTGCTGACGGGACACAAAACCTGGGAGAAACAAAGGATGAGCCAAAACATCCTTGTAGACTTGGTAGATTCATCTCGGCAGAATCCAGGAGGTTGGTGTTCAATATGTTCGTACATTTTCCATCCGTCAAAACTAATTACCCTCAATGAACTCACTGCAAGGACCCTGCCTCCCTCCGAAACTCACCAGTCCGCTCATCTTTGGCAGGTGTGGCTGCTCAACATATGTTCAGCGAAGCTTTAACAGCTACCCGCTTCTAGGTGAAGGGCCTGTTTTGGCACTTTGATTGCGTGGCTGCCAAACGTAAAGCATGCGAAGCATGATTCTGGCCAACCCTTACCGGGGTGTGCACCTGACAACGCGGCCGCTTCGGGTTCAAATTTGTTTGTGCCCCCTGTTTGCTGAGGCAACCATATATCCATTGATCAAACACCATACATCCACAAACATCTTTGATTTGTCCATGGCACCGCATGGCCCTTCGGTTTGTCCATGCCTACAGTTTCTGCTTTGGAACATGTCACTGGGGCTCGAGATGAACGTTTGAGTCTTCCGGCCATTTCTCCGAGCACGGAAAAGAGGGCCCTTCTGGATCCAGATCACGACCTTTGCCTCGTCTGACGAAAGCCAAGAGACTGCCCCAACAACGATTGGTCGCCCAAGACCTGTAGTTGCAAGGCCAAGCTGCAGTTGCAAGGGACTGCAGGGAATGATCTCTATGGGTTGAAACCAAAGGGACCTGTATCCCAGGGAATCTCTTTTACACCAGCACAGCTAGAACACGCAAAGAACCCTGATGGACGCCCACTTGTGAACCGGGAAACTTGCCAAGAAACATGACCTTGAACCTCACTGATACACACACACACAGAATGACGTGTTTCTGAGCCAGATGTGAACGGGGCCGGCTGCACCAGTGAAATGCTGGTGATCATTCAACTGTGGGCACTTTTGCCAGAACAAACTTACTGGGCTTTGTGGAATGAGGGTCCATGTTGTATATATGCATATAATATATTTAAATACAATTCCCACTTAGCCTCTTGACCAAGTGAGCACATTGAAACAACAACAAACATCCCTTGCCAAAGACTTGCTGAACAACATGTGCTTCAGCATTATTTGATTTTCTGTCGCCTCAACACACCTGTTCCCTTCAGCGTGGACCCGTCCGGTTGACTCTTGGCCAATGGTCTTTTGCGCTTGCTCGCATGCCATCGGCCATCGCTCCACTGGGGTTCCGCTCCACCCTCCAATCTCAGGTCCGACAGCAGGATATAGCGAGTCTCGTACTTCACCTGTGCGTCATCGGTCGGAGGAGACCGTCTGGCTCCGTCGGAGATCTAGTCTCCAACGGAGACAATGGTATCACAAAAAAAGAGACTCCAAAGTAGACAGAGTCTTCATCAGGGCATCAGGTGTTGTTTCTTTCTACGTTAGGTTTGCACCGTAACATGCTATAAGCCAATGAGTCCACGAAAAAAACCTGATTCCTGGCGCCCCAAAGTGTCGATCTCTCCGGTGGTAGCATCCCACCTCCTTCAATTGTGGCAGGATCCACTGAAGACCTGCCGCGCAAAATCCACGCAGGTCTTCCGCCATGCACGAAACCAATCATGCGCACCATGGGACATCGTACACACCATATTTCGCATGTTTAGAAAAACCTGTCTGTGCTCATCGTTGTATGCATGGTGAATGCATGGTAGATCATCGTAGCTCGTCGTCAGCTTTCAGATGTACCAAGACCAAACCCTTTCAGCGCTGGGCCCACACTTTCTTCTGTGGCTTGGAAAAGTATTTCCACATATTTCCACAGGAACCGTGCGACAAAAACAAAACAGCAGCTGCCGGACTGTAGCTGGTGAAGATCCTCTCTCGGATGTGGATGTGGCGCCCCAGGACCGACCCCGCAGGAGTCGGCTTTTCCATGTCATGACTGGAGGGGCACCTGCGGGATACTTCTTGAGTCTGATTTTTGAGCCCAAAAAGCTAAAATATACCAGTCAAATTCAATTCCAAAGCTCTTCTGGCCCGACCGCCTCTCAATTGCCCCGCTGCGCGACCGCCTAGCGACGCTCTGAGCCACCCGACGTACGCCACCACAGCTGTGCCATCGCCCAAAGTCTACTTCCCTGGAGCTGATGAATGGCTGAAACCTCACCCCATATCCCCTGCGTGGCCCTGCATGGCCCTGCTGCGTGGCCAGTTCCCTACCGGAGACCGCAAGCATTTGCGCCCACCTGCAGCCGAACATCCACATGCGACAAAAGAGCCGGTGGGCGCACCACCAGGAACCGCCCGCGTGGAACTCTTCCAAGGAAATCTGGGGGTGCCACCTCGGCAGTCCGGGGATCGGTAGGTCGACCCATCCCATCGGACCATCGGTCGAACGTTCGGAACTGGGTTTCTGAGTGCAATGCTTTGGTCCTCCGGTCGTTCCACTTGTTTCAACGTCGTTCTGCCAGTTGTTCCACATCGACATCCTCCAAAAAAAGAAACCGCTTATACTTTTGTTGCTAGCTTATGAGTGTGTTGCTAGCCGCTATACCATGTGTTTGAAGCATGAACGAAGCAACTCATGGCATACCATGGCTCCTTTTCAAGGATCGAAAAGGCACACATGCAAAGAACTCTACCAGTGGAGAGGAAAACAACAAATAGAGACAGGCAACGCTGCAACAGAAACCATCTCCATTCTGGTTGGCTTCCCTGGCAGGGCCCCATCCCCCGAGCGCCCGGTGGAACCTGGATGGCTCCGCAAGGACGTTCCTGGGATTTCCTGGCCCCTTCTGCACTTCCAAGGCCTGGATTGGCTCGTGGCCCATTCCGCTGCTCGAGGCCTTACCTGAGATCGGAGCTGCGATCCGATCCTTGGGATCTCCAAAAAAGAAAAAAATCCGTCTACTGATCCAACCTATAGTAGCGGCTTAGTAGCGATGGCCTCCACCCTAGGATCCGTCTACTGATCCATGAAAATACAGGAGATCATGGAAGATCCAAACCGATTTTGCTGCGATCGTGTGTGGGTGTTCACGAGCGTCAATGTTCATCGTTTTACACGATGTTTCTCGTCAAAACGCACCTGAAAAGACTTAGACCCGTGAACCGTCAGAAGACTGCGGGGAATTACCACTCCATGACTTGCTGAACCGTCCAGCCGAGATGCACTGTGCATCTTGTGTGGGACAGTCGATAATGGCACCACCTGAAAGGCGACACGGCAAAAAGCTCGATCTCGGGTAATTTCTTGGGGAAACAAATACCGTTTCTATCGTACGCTGAATGTTCTAGATCCGTTTCTGAAAAGCAATGAAACGGCGTGCTAGCACAGGAATCCTCTGTCTGCAAGGTCAATTAGTCTCCTGCAGAGTATGTGGTGTCTCGCAACAGCAAACTTCTCTATCTCTGACAGGCAAAAATAGTAACATTATGTAACATGAAGTTCTTGCCGGCGAAGAATGACTACCAGCAGGCTGTTTACATCAGAGATTGAATATGGTACTGTAGGATTTTAACTTGCCATTGTCGAAACCTCATGATCTTCCAAACCTTGAGAAAAACTGATTCAGCATGATTCAGGTGATCCTGATGATTCCTTGATGGTCCATCCATGGTTCTGTTGTTTGTTTGACTTTGTTAGGCTCACACGCAACACGCGATGACTTCTCGGAACCATTACTACTTTGTTTCCTCAGCTTCTTGCCCATCTCAATGGCATGAAATGACCTCACACGTTGCGCTGTTGCGCAGCAAACATGAAAACACATCAATGAAAGGAAGGGAAACGCACACGTTGTGCGCCGGGTTGCAACTGCACATGTTTCGGCATAATTCTCAGTTTCTGCGCATATTCAGTAGCATTTAGTAGCATGTTCTTCACCGAAGTGCTCGTTTTTCCCCGGTTTTCCGGGTCCATCCGCATCAAGCCACTGCACACATCTGTCTGAGGGCCCTAGCCGTTCAGGCTCTTCCATGAAACCGATGTCTGCACTTTTATGGCTCGTGCTTGACCTGAGGCGTTTTTCGGCCCAACAAACCCCTGAACAGGACACGCAGCGAGGCGGAACCGGAGGGTTTTATTCGGCGGGAAAGTACCGATGCATTCCAACCGTCTCAATATCATCTGATCCAAGGCTCACCGGCCATTCCTGAACCGAACAATGTCGAAAATCCCACATTATACTTTAATCAAACAAGAAAAACTAAAAAACTAAGTTCTAGACGCGACCTCCTTTTGACCCAACATGTAAGCCACCTTCTCCGCTGGTACACGGCTCATTTTGGAACCTAGAAACGGCTCATTTTGGAACCTGGCTCACTTTGGAACCCAGACGAAAAGAAAACTCTCCGGGACTGCAGCGTGAGACCAATTTCGCGGCTCATTTTGGAACACGCATCATTCGGTAGTGCTTCGAAGGTAGCATTTGCTAGTGAAAGTGAGTGTTTCGTACGAGACTTCCTCCAAAAGTGAGCCGCGGAAGTCTCCAGAACGAGCGTATCGTACGAGACTTCCTCCAAAAGTGAGCCGCGGAAGTCTCCAGAACGAGCGTTTTGTGCGAGACTTCCTTCAAAAGTGAGCCGCGGAAGTCTCCAGAACGAGCGTTTTGTACCACGCATTATCATATGACACGCGCGATCCTCGCAGAGGGTCGCTCCAGGTCAAACGCGTCAAACGCGATCGACGTTTCACTACACGTTTGAACACTTGGCACGCGCGATTCTCGTAGAGGGTCATGTTACGTGCTTTGCTTCTTTAGGATGTTTTTGGGTTGGACTTAGGGCTTCAATGGAGAGGGGCTTAGGCCTTCACTTCTTTAGTTCTTTTGGGTTTTGCTTCAGGCTTCACTCCTTTAGGGTTTCATGTGGTTGGGCTTAGGACTTTGCGTCTTTAGGATGTCTTAGGGTCGGATAAGCCTGCGCTTCTTTAGGGTCTCTTTTGGTTTTGCTTCGGGCTTCGGCTTTACGGTTTCTTTGGTCTTAGCTTCGGGCTTCACTTCTTCAGGATGTCTTTGGGTTTGACTCAGGGCTTCACTTCTCGAGGATCTGTTTTTGTTTTGCTTAGGGTTTCGCTTCTTTAGGTTTTCTTTTGCTTCTTTAGGATGTTTTTGTGCTGGAATTAGGCCTTCACGTGAGGGCTCCTTTAGGATGTCTAGGGTTTCACTTAGGGCTTCACTTCTTTAGGGTCTCTGGTTGGTTGGGCTTAGGGCTTTGCTGCTTTAGGATGTCTTTCGTTTTCACTTAGGGCTTCACTTCTTTAGGATGTCTTTGGGTTTGACTCAGGGATTCACTTCTTTAGGGCCTGGTTTGGTTTTGCTTAGGGCTTCCCTCCATTAGGATGTCTTGGGTTTCACTTAGGGCTTCGCTTCTTTAGGGTTTCTGGCTGGTTTGCCATAGGACTTTGCTGTTTTAGGATGTCCTTGGTTGTGACTTCGAGCTTTACTTCTTGAGGGTCTCTTTTGGCCTGCCTTATGGCTTCACTTCTTTAGGATGTCTTTGGCACAAATTCAACAGCATCTCTTGCTCAACATTTTGTGTTTTGTGCACATGGTCGTGGTAATTACGTGCTTTGGCGAAGCTGGGTTTGGTTTTGCTCAGGGCTTTGCTCTTTTAGGGTTTCGTTTGGTTTGCCTGAGGGGCTTGCTTCTTTAAGATGTTTTTGGGTTGGCATTAGGGCTTCAGAGGAGAGGGGCTTAGGGCTTCACTTCTTTAGTCTTTTTTCTTTTGCTTCAGGCTTCACTCCTTTAGGGTTTCATGTGGTTGGGCTTCCGGCTTTGCGTCTCTAGGATGTCTTTGGGTCGGATAAGCCTTTACTTCTTTGGGGTCTCTTTTGGTTTTGCTTCGGGCCTCGCTCCTTTAGGGTTTCTTTGGTCTTAGCTTAGGGCTTCACTTCTTGAGGATGTCTTTGGATTTGACTCAGGGCTTCACTTCTTGAGGATCTGTTCTTTTTGCTTAGGGTTTCGATCCTTTAGGTTTTCTTTTGCTTCTTTAGGATGTCTTTGGGTTGGACTTAGGCCTTCACGTGAGGGCTCCTTTGGGATGTCTTGGGTTTCACTTAGGGCTTCACTTCTTCAGGGGGGTTGGTTTGCCTTAGGGCTTTGCTCTTTAGGATGTCTTTCGGTTTCACTGAGGGCTTCAGTTCTTTAGGATGTCTGTGGGTTTGACTCAAGGCTTCACTTCTTTAGGGTTTGGTTTGGTTTTGCTTAGGGTTTCGCTCCTGTAGGGCCACGGTTTCTTTTGGCTTGGCTTAGGGCCTTGCTTCTTTAGGATGTCTGTGGGTTAGACTTAGGCCTTCACCACCACCCCCTCAAAAAAAGAACGCTTCTCAGAAACCAGTCCCCAGAAACCACTTCCCAGAAACCAGTCACCAGAAACCACTTCCCAGAAACCACTTCCCAAAAACCACTGCCCAGAAACCACTTCCCAGAAACCACTTCCCAGAAACCACACCACTTCCCAGAAACCACTTCCCAGAAACCACACCACTTCCCAGCAACCACTTCCCAGAAACGACCCCCCGAAACCACTCCCCAGAAACCAGCCCCCAGAAACCACTTCCCAGAAACCACTTCCCAGAAACCAGCCCAGAAACCACTTCCCAGAAACCACTTCCCAGAAACCTCACCACTTCCCAGAAGCCACTTCCGAGAAACCAGCCCCCAGAAACCACTTCCCAGAGACCAGCCCCCAGAAACCACTCCCCAGAAACCACTTCCCAGAAACCACTTCCCAGAAACCACTTGCCAGAAACCAGTCACCAGAAACCACTCCCAAAAAAACCACTTCCCAGAAACCACTTGCCAGAAACCACTTCCCAGAAACCACTTCCCAGAAACCACTTCCTAGCCTCGGGAGACCATTTCACCCGCGTTCCGAAACAAGGCGAATCCAGGGTCCGAAACGAGACGAATCCAGGTTCCGAAACGAGACGAATCCAGGTTCCGAAACGAGGCGTCGGCCATGATCTCCGCTTTTGTTTGGCCAAGGCACAGGTACGAAGGCCCAAATCGAACATATGCCTGCAACGTAGGCGACTCATCTGCAGCGGTCCAGCGAAAGGATCGATGACTCATTGACTCCCAAATAAATGGTTTCCAAAATGGTGAGATAGGTTTTAAACCGATCCACAATTTCTTTTCTTTTTTATGTGGTTTCAGTGGTTGTCCTTCAATGTCGGACCCTCCCCAAAAAAATCACTCTACCCAAAGACCCTGAAACAGGGCGAAAGGAGGGTCCCACCACTTCCCACTTTCTCCGCGGTGCTGGTTTCCACTCTTAAAACTAGCGCTCTCCAGCCTCATGAGCACCGAACTTCCGGCACAGCTGTGCAAATGTGTCCTGGAGACGAAGGAGGCCGAAAAAACCTGAGGACCCAAGTTCGGTTTCACAGTGAAAGAATCACAGTGGTTTCAGATGGTTTCAAAGTAGATGCCACAATCCCCAACATCGGTGGTTTTTTGAACCCCCATCATTGTACAAAATCTTTGGGCTTGTGCCAATGATAATGGCTTCGTGGAATTCACTGCCTACACTCAGCCGCGGAAGTCATGGCATAGTAGGAAAAGACTTGTGTTCCCCAATGGAAACGCGACGCCACTAGGGAGGTCCTGGCATAGTCCTTGCATAAACCAGCTTCCCGCATGGAAACGCAATGATTTGGCAATGTGTTTGATGTGTTCTGAAGTCCTTCCGCAGCACAGTTGTCATGTGTTCACAAGAAGCTTCTGGCATGGAAACGCAGTGATTCAGCAATGATGTTAATTTCCCTGTGGTCCCTTGACATCTCTTTGGACCAGGCTCTGGACACTTTACTTACTTAAGTCACGCAAGTTGCAAAGAGGTATCGGAACGAGGGTGAACGAGGTCAGAAACCGTGCCAGCAAAGAACGCCCGCAGAATGAACACCTCCAGCTACCTCATCATGTATATGCGCACACCCCTTTCTTTGTTTCTTTCTTTCTTTCTTTCTGTATTTCTTTGCCTGTGCGATCGGCGTTTTATTTGCGGCTGCTGCCTTGTCTTCTCCCCAACCAAACGCGACATCGCCATGACTTCCATACACTCAAACCCCAATGGAAACGCTTCAAACACAGAAAATCACCACAACTTCAACATTTGATTGTATCTGTAAAGGATTTTATGGTCTTCGGAAACCGGGGACATGTCATCCACGTAACCATGATTATTCCAGAAAGTGTATCATTGGAAGCTAGGAGGTGAACGCAATGCCTTGAAAGCGCTGACACTCAAGAGCGGGTCCCAGGTTGGTGATGGTGGCACTTCCACAAGCGATAATCGTGACATTCGAGAAACACCTCCAATACTTGAGCCCATTGATGCCAAATCTATCTCTGAATGCACATCCACAGTAGTCATCCTGCAATGAGTCATCTGGTTTCTGGATCGATCAATGACATTCTTGAAACTGCCGGCGAACTGATGGCGGTCAACCGATGCTCACGGTCAATTTCCTCTTTGTAAAGGGCACCTCCAATGGATCTGTCTGGATTCCAAACAAAGATTTTTGTACAGGGTACAGGCCTGGAAGAAAATCAACTGCTTGCTTGATGGAAGCTACCTGGATGCTTCAATGTACAAGTACACCTTTGGCCAATGGTTTTGGCACGCCCCGCAAAAGGGCTTGATTTACAACGCTTCGTGGTTCGTGGTGGTCAATCCTTCACTCGGGGATTGTCTCTGGCCGGTCCTCTACCACATAAAAGGCTGGCAAGTCGGAGTCGGTTCTCGACCTGTCTTCCGACGAAATAGACTTTTCAAAGAAGCACAACAGTTGACAGGGCAAACACCACGATTTTGCCAAGAGTGGTTGAATTTCAACAGAACTCAAATGCAACCCTGGAGTCTGAGTTGTCTGAAACAACTTTGAAACTCTATGCCTACAAAGAACATCACAAAACATATCAACAAAACCTAGACGGCCTAGAAGTCTAGAAGGTGTGAGGTTCAAAAAGGACACCGCGACACCCAAGTTCGCACCGCTGGATTCGAAGCAATGGTGGGGAATGGGCATATTTGCAGACTTCCCCAGTTCGCACCTGGCAGGAACCACAGGACCAGTGCTGCACAACCGCGCACCGCGCTTCAAGCACCTCATCGGAGGTTTCTTGCGGCGAGACGATGTGGCGCGAGACGATGCGACCCGTCCAAGAACAAAGGGAGACAACAAAGTGCCAAGCGAATGAGTTGTTTGCAAACCTCCAACTGGCAGAAGGTCCTTCCATGGTCCTAACAAACCTGAAAAAAAGTCCTTCCATTCAACTGGCAAACCTCCAACTTGGAGATGAAGATGATGAAGTACTCCCCCTGGTTGTGTGTGTTAAGCCTAGTTGGTAGCTTTAGCAGGCGCTTGGGCTTTTCAAACACGCCTCAAACGCTTTCTTGGGTTGGCAGCTGTTCCCCCCCACTGGCTCACCCTTTCTGTCACGTGGCTCTTGGGCTCGGCGTTCCATCAGCTTCTTCATCCTCCTGGTCACTTGCCCTGCGTTCTGCAAGAGATTCACAAACCTGGTGCGGGGAATGGCGGCGGAACCGGTGGTTCGAAGATGGCCAGGGAAGTTCCCGCGAAGCATGGCCGTCATCGTGAAGCAGCACGAGCATCGCAGGTGAAACACGAGACAAGGATCGCACGATGTGAAGATGTTCACATTGACAAGATGTTCACTAGACACGCACCGCTGGTCCCAAGTGAAAGATGTTGTACAGAACGAAAGCACTGCTGGTCCAAGCATTGTGTCAGCCTACTATGTCAGCCTAAGAAATTGGACCCCCCTCAGAAGGATGACCCCTGTCAAATGCTCCAAGCAACCTGCTGGCCCGGTCGCTGTCGGCATCCAGCCATAGCTGGAAGGATCCCTGGGAGAACATGGGCAACGGCGTGTCTGCCCGAATTTCAGAAGGTTTGAGCGTCCAACTGTGGAAGTTCTGTTGCAGAAAATTGGCATGATTTGGTATGTAGGTGATGGACAGTGATGGGTTTGTGGACTGAGTTCATTGACTTCTTGCCAGTTTGACAAAACACTGTGGCACTTGTGCCAGAGAATCATGCCGCATTGGGACATATTATATATCGCAACGAACAGTGGTAGTGATGCACACTGAGCAAGACCCTCCTGTCCCGATACAACAACAAGCGCACTTCTTGAAGCTATCTTACTCCAAATCTAGAGCATCTGCCATCAAACCCTGCAGTCTACCTGACCCCTTTGCCTCATTCTGGCCCGGAGGATCTCTCCTCAGCATCACTGGAGCCCACTGCGGTCAACGGCAGTCAAATGCTTTGCGGTCTGTGACCGACCCTGTGAACAACATCTTGACATATCATGACATATCATGACAATGTTGCGGTCCAAAATGGATCAGAAAGTTGATGTTGCCATGACCCTTAGGTCTGGACAAAGTCTATAAAGTCAACGACACAAACATCTTCTTTACATGCACTGCTCTGTTGAAGATCCTCAATCCAGCGACTCTAAGAGCCCCACAATTTCAACCTTCCGTCCAGGAGCCCTTCTGCTGCGCGGGGTGTCCTGCCATGAGGCTAGTCCTAGTGATGTCACTCAGCTTTTTGTTTCTTCAGAAGGAACTCACGGAATCATTTATCAATTTAAGCGATATATCTTCCGTGGGCAAAGCATCCAAACTCGCCAGCTGAAGATCACGAGTTTGGCACATCCAGCCGTTCTCTCGTCCAACGACCACTCATCCAACATCGGCACGGCTACCCGAACATCGGCCAAGCCATCAGGCAGCAACTTTGCATTGGGAGTATTAAGACGCTATTAGGTGGAGGCCATCGCAAGTAGGTTGGAAGCCATTACTACAAGGAGCAAATAGCTACTAGGAGCAAGAAGCTAAGGTTCTTCCCCCGAAAAGCGGGGGCCCGACGAACACGTCATCTCATGCTGACTCCGGCTGAGTGGGCGGACTTGTCGGGGCACGCTTGCTTCAAGACCTGAACGTGGGACGTCACCCACCGTGCGGTCATGCCATAGAAAGTAGATGTGAAGGCTACCACTTGTTGAAGACTGTATAATCAGAAAGCCTTCAACGTGTTTGCTTCGCATCTACAACATAATCTGTCCCAAAGTTTTTGGCCGCTGACCGCTAGGAGAGGGACTAAGACTCGTCACTAAGTCGACCCTTTTTCACGTGCTCGGTAGAGCGGCCTTCGTCTCAAGCAAGAGGTCAGCATCTCCACGGCCTTGATACGGCGCTGGGCGACGTTCGAAAAAGCCTCAGTCCATGACCCAAACCAACGAACGAAATGTCATTGAGCAAGAGAGCAAGTGTGCAAGTGCACGTCTGACGTTCCAAAGAGGTAAGACAAATAGTATAACAAACTGTCTAACAGCAAACAGGAAAAAAGTAAACAACAAAATAATTCCAACATGCATATTTAAGAAGAGGAACAAAGGCTGCACATAGCCGCTCACGACCCTATCCCATTGTAAGACTCTGAGCCTTTCTTCCGTGCACCGTCAAGGCATTGCTTTAGCATGCGTCGCAGGATGGGATCCTTTGAAAAGCGCTTCGCCAAGGCCTGGAACACCGAAAGTGTTGGAGCTGGTTTGAGCTCCGACACATCGGAGCTAGGAACCAAGCTCCAACGAAAACCCCAGTGACTCCAGACTCTTTGATGCTCACTGCTCTGCTTCTTGGGATCCCAGATAGCTCATATCAGCCCATATCAGCCTATCACTGCCTATCACCCAAAAGCTTCCGAACGACACCACCGGTGGCGCCCGGTTGCACAGGTGCGCAGCCGCACGCGTGCGGTGGGCGGCGCACCCGAAGGAAGCCCAGGGCATCGTTGGGACTCTTCGGACGTGCCAAGAGCTCGAGGCCGGAGCTACGCCCTGGAGTCGAGGCATCGAAGGATGTCGCTGATGTCGTGAGGACGAGAACACCGAGGGTTGGAGGAAGAAAACAAGGGCAAAGGCTTGGTGTTTAGTAGCTTCTTGTTCCCTTTACATATCTTTACATCATGTTATTTAGTAGCTTCTTGTTCCTAGTAGCGATGCCAGGAGCCCCGAGTAGCGTCCTTGCTCCTAGTAGCAAGTAGCGTTCTTGTTTCAAGCATTTAAAACCCATTCCGGTATGTTCTTTTGGATCGTTGTGGATGGAAATGACATGAAATGACCGTGTCACTGACAGCTTGCAATGGCTCCACTGGCTCTGGCCTCGTGGTGTTGTTGGCGGGGGCGGCAAAGTGTCTGTGGCCTGGCCATGCGCGGATCAACGAGCCATGCTTCAGCTGTGATGGTAACCTCATCAAGAATTTATAGACTGATCAAACTGGTTCCAAAGCCCCAATTCCATCGGAGGGATGAAAGAGTCTGATGCTTCTAACCCGTTTCGCCCTGATCCACGCCAACCCTCAGGCTCTTTTCTTGGTCTCACTTGGCAAGAACTTGGGTGCGCGGGTAGCCGGCCTCAGGCTGCGGCAACGCTTCCGGACCGCGTTGATACCGAACCACAGGCTGCTCGGCCAACACAATTTAAAGCCTACGACTCCGACGACCACAATGCTAGACCAAGCTGGATGCATCCAGCTTGAAACATGTTCCTTGGATGAACAAATATGGACAACATCATGACACAATAGATAGATGCCCGAACCCTCTTTCTTTAAGAGAAGTGAAGGCTCATACCAGCTACAAGTATGGGATCTCAGGACAGGATGCCATGGGTGGAATTGAATGGCAGGAGGGGTATGACAAGGGGTTTGTCTACCAGCCACACAGATGCATGGGTTTCTATCTTTGGTTCTCTCATCTATCCTCATGGTGGACCGCCGTCTAGTCCAGTCCAGGAGCATGCAAGCAGCACACAACTAGTGCACCACACGACCGCAACAAGCCTCTTACTACAGCTACACACCCTGCAGGAAGACTCTCAGGACATGCGAAGGCATTCAATGCCCATTTTAGTACATTTCTATTAGGTTGGAGGCCATCTCTAGTAACTTAGTAGGTTGGATGCCATTGCTGTTAGAATGAATTATACACGTCTATCCTTTCACTGTTTTGAACCCCTCAAAACGCCACTTTCGGACCCTTCCGAATCCACATGGTCGGTGGTTGGCTCGCTCGCTCGCCTCCACAGCACGACGCACATGTCGCAAGAGGTCTTGCAGATCATCCGGGTCAGCGGACTCAGCACGTTCCACATGTAGAGATTGCAAGGGACACCTACCTACATGTAGTGATCTACAGCGAGTAAAGATCCTACCTACAGAAATCTATCCCTGTCATTGATAGAGACTTGAAGTGAGTGGGCAAGCCTCCAGTGAGTTAGCCTGCTCTTGAGTTTGTCTGGCTGAAGATTTTGCTTGGTCACTGCCTCGTGTCCTTGGTTCATTTCTGAAAAAGACCTACGATGAACTCGAAGATACCGTTGAAACAGGAACTCTTCACCTCTTTCAGCATCTCTTGAGCAATCTTGGGTCACTACAGTAGGCTGTCACTCGGGCCCTTTATATTCCTTTGTCTATTTCAGCCAATGCAACCAATCCATGAAAACACCTTCTGACTCCAGGACACTGGGTCAAGTTAGGCTTCACCCTTGAGTCAAAGCAACCCTGTCCAAGCTGGAAGAAACCCTGTCTAATAGACTAGTTGAACCAAAGGGGGAGAAGACTTTGGCGTATTTTCACACAGAAAGCCACTCCCCGCCACTCCCGAAAAAGCACAGTTCTTTCATGCCCTCGTTGATCAGAGTCTCATGAAGGTAGATGCCCCCAGCCACCAAAGGCACAGCAGCCAGAACCAACCACCTCAATGCTTTGTCGTGGCACGGTGACACAGGATGTCGAATGAAGACCCTCTTAGGCCTTGAGCCCCAAACAGAATATCGGTAGATTTAGGTGGGCAAAAAGGCAACAACGCACTATGCCCGGTCGTTTGAGAAATGAACATGCTAAGAACAGGGAGATGAAAGCCTAGATCCGCCCCAAATGAAAGGTAGAACAGTAAAGCAACGGTTGTAACGTCTTTTGGCAAGGACATTCTTACCGCAAAACACATGTGCCTGCATCGGCTTGCATCTAAGCCTTTCGAACATCTTCTCATGCACTGGCCCGACCCGTGGCGCATCAGCAACCGTTGTCTCTTCGCCTACAGGTCCTCTGTGGAACCCTGCGAAAGTTGCAGGCCCAGTAGAACCTGTTGAAGCCTGAACCAACGGCGCGTCAGGCTCGGTGTCCGTTCCGTCGCTCGCAGGTCACCGCGATGTCCGTCGCAGTCCAGGCGGAGCAATTGGAAGGAGTGGAGGAAACAGAGCTTCTACAACTGTTCCCCGTGTAAGTCTGGATTCAAGAGGTTTACACTCCAGTGGATGGCATGGTGGTTACGTGGATGGCACGGCCCCGATTTAGGGCAAAACCATTGTTTCCGAAGACCCTGTTGGGCGGGGTAAACTCCACTTCCATGTTAACTCATGTTGGTTCCAGGAGAGTGGATGACTCGTGGGCTGGGGAACAAACAAGCTGACTGAAACAGCCAGTCGATCTGAACTCTTGTGACGTGTGACCAGGGTGGATCCGACCTCACTATCGTCAACCTCAACGGTCAAGCAACTTGCAATTCTGATAATCATTATGGAAAAAAAATCTAGAAACACCATGAAAAAACACCTGGTTTAAGTTGGGAAACAAGCAGAACAACAATGAAAACACCTGGTTACTATACGTTCTGAAAGGCCATTTGAAGGCCACTCTTGCGAAGGGGAACAACATCACCTTTGAGATCCTATGAGGATCCGACACGTTACGCCACCTGGGGGTAGGAAGTTTTCCAGGTGGTGATGATTGACCGTGACCCGACACGTTACGCACAGCCCACGCATCTAAGGTGCCAGGCAAACAAGTGAGGATTAATCCACAAATGGTCGCCATGACCTTCCGCACTCCACCAGCCTCGGAGGTCGAAATCCGTCGCATCGGTCGCGAAGACGGAGGAGAGGACGAGTCGTGTCGGTCGCTTCTTGGGGCTGCTCGGTCTAGGTAAGCCGCTTCTTTGCTCAGGTGCTGTTCATGGGTGGATGAATGATCAATGCCTCAGTACTTAAAAGGTGGCTAAATTGATTCAGCTACTAAATGGGTGGATGCATAAAGCTGCTCACCACTTTGCATGTTTGGAGCTGAACAACCTACTAGCAATGGCCTCCAACCTAATAGCGATGGCCTCCAACCCAGAGCCTTAAAACAAATAGGATGGATCTTGCCGTATTGCAAGGATTGCTTAGCTCCGGACAACCTGCGTCACAATTCCTACAATAATTCCAGCGAGGCCCTGTGTGAGTACCTAAGTCGAATCAATCAGTTTTGCTGCTCCACAGTGATCATACAATGGAGGCAAAAAGAATCCATCCAATGCATTTGGCTGTGCAAAATAGAAGGTATTGACGACACCATCTCATAAATCGTGTTATGGCCAAAGTGGATCCACAAGGAGCTTTCATGGTGAGATTCGAGATTCTTGCAGTTCGAGCTAAGGCTGATACTGGAATCACCGTGGTGGCTCGCCACCCAGCGAAAAAGCCAAACTCCTTCATCCTGCAGCGGCGACTTTCGTCACCCAGACGGGCATATTCTTGGATTTCAGGGATTTCAGGCCAGTCTGACAAGATATGATCATCCACGGTAAAGTGTACAAATCCCATGACATCAATAGCACATGTCCAATAAGGTAGTTATGGACTGTCAGGTGCTCTGATAGTCCAACATCAGTCTTATACAAATTAATTAAAGCGTTCTTTGCCAGTGAAACAATATATATATATATTATATAACAATATGTGTATATATATAATATATATATAATATATATATATATAAAGTGGCTAACCATGCTGGCCGGAAAGACCTTGAAACTGCGCGGCGTGGGCGACAACCCGTGCCGAGAGGGGCCTAACACTGTCTGGCGACAAACCCAGTAGCAGCGTGGTGACGAGGATGAGGCCTCGATTGCAAACATTCGAAGATGGGCACCACTGGATCTTTCACACCTAAACAATAAACAACTTTGGGTGTGAACTCCCCTTCCAACAAAAGCCGGAAGACTTATCGAAAAACATGTCCTCTGCTGAACGAAAACTGCTCTGAAGGTACAGCTTGTAACATCTGGATGGGACTGCCACCTCATCTGCCACCTCTAAAAACTGCTTGTAACCGGAAGACTTATCTGATTGTCCATCATTGAAGATGCGGAACTGCTACCTCCAACATCCTGCAACATCCACCAGTCCGGTCCGCTGCAAACATCCGCTGCTCTGCTAAGCGGAGCTAAGGAACATCCCATCGTGGCAAGCTCCAAAGACAAAAGAAAGCTGTTCCGACCGCGCTTTTGCAGCGCCCACTCCTCGGACGAAGAAAGCGGAGAATGGAGACACCTCAACAGGGTGCTTTTGGAGGGTGACAGGTGGTCACCTTTCTCTTGTTTTGTTGGACACCTCATACTACAATACAAGGACTAAATTTAGTTGACCACCTTAGCATGAGGAGAGGCGAGGTTAGCTGTTGAACAGTGAGCACGGCCCCCCAAAGGCCCCAAAGCTCTGAGCACGCTGCAAGTCTACTTCCGTGGCCCCCCCAAACCCTTGCTATTTAATAAGTATAGCTTCGTGTTACGATTAGTAAGGCTAGGAGCTACTAGTAGCTTCTTGCTCCTAGTAGCGATGCCCTTGTTACTAGTAGTTTCTTGTTACTAGTAGTAATGCCTTTGTTACTAGTAGCGATGCGGCGATGCCCTTGTTTCGGACCACCGATCTAGCAATTGACGGACCACCATTGATCCGTAGGTGCGATATGGTGCGATGCGAGAAGAGAGTCGTTGCTGTGTCGCCGCAGGTTCGGCTTACCAAGTGGCGGAGTGACTGGTGCCATTTGGAGCAAAGGCGGGTGGAAAAAGGAACCAACATCTTCTGAATTCGTTCACCATGTTTGAGTTTTCAGACTACGGAGTATTTCGCAATTTCAGAACATTGCTGCTGCATTTTCAAAGAAAAGGAAACTTGCTGACTTGGCAACAATAAGAATGTGAGATTCTAAGGTGCAAGTCTTGTTCATTCTAAAGCACCCGTATCTCCTGAAGTCTTTTTGGCCTCTTTTGGACGGGATGGAGGTTTGACAAACCGAAGCAAACCTGGAACTTTCTGAGGAAAGGTCCCTTCCGTTTCCACTGGACACCTTTGCTTCATCAGTTTTGAGCTTTCTCTTTTGAGGACAAGCAAGAGACCAGCAGCCAAGCCCCAACCATTTTTCAGCAACCATGAACGGAACATTCAGTGGCGAACGCAGCGGCAAACGTGAATAAATGTCAGCCAGCAAGCGCCAGGTGACTCCTCGAAACCAGGGTCAAAGAAGTCATATGCCATAGTAGGACACCCCAACTTGCGCAGAAGATTACGCAAGGCTATCATGATAGAACTAATGATACCCTCTCAGTCGTTTTTTTCGGGCTCAAGACTTACAGTAAGTTCTTCCTGATTAAAGCTCCACCACGAAGAGCGTCCCAGAGTACTTTGTTCATGGCGGGCAGTGATGGGGAGTCATTCAGTGATACAGGAACCTGACAAAGTCATCCCTCAGCCATCCCTGGTCACTGTTTCAATGCCAAATCACTGTTTCCAAAAAGTAATCCCCCAGTCACCCCCAGGAGCCAATCCCAATGGAACGCTGTTTCCCAATGAAACGTAATCTGTTCCATTGCGAACTGCACTGGCAAGCCTGGAAATGACTGTGTTGCTTTCTGTACTTGTCTCGCATGTATGTGGAAAATTAATTGTGGACTGCTTGCAGGACCCACTACAGAATAAGACACTCATTGCCTCAGCAGGCATTATTAACCCCTTATGAGTTGCCAGTACCTTTCGATGAGAGCCCCAGCATACAACCTAAAAGTAGGTCCCTTTCCAACCAACAGAGTTCGCTTGGGTTTGGGAAAAAGAGACGACTTTCCGCAGAGCCTTCCCCCCAAGGCAGGGTAGCAATCACTCAAAAAAAGTGACGACATTGTCTTTTGCCTGTACGATTGCATGTTGGCTCTTGTCCTGTGGATAGGAACTCCTGCAACCACGTTGGCATACTTCTGGTCCAAAGTAAAAAGTACATCAAATACGAGTACATACGAGTACTATTTTTTTTTCCCGAGAATCACCACACTCCCTTCAAGATCAATGACTTGGAACCGATGTTCTCCAAATAAGGCTCCGTGATGCCACTACCAAAGCCAGAGAGGCCACTGGCGAAGATGGCGCAAACGAGTCCCCAGGCGCGGTTCTCCTCCGTCTTGCTCACCACGGCACTCGACCCGACCCGTGAGTTGTGCAGTCAGTTTCTGTCCAAGGTTCGCCCAACCTTGAACCCGTCACCACCCTTGGTGTATTTTGGGTGCATTGTTCTCACGATACACTCAGCGCTCTATCTTTCAACAGGCGACGCACTGTTATTTTTTTTCAACTTTTTACAGATCCCTTGTCCTGGTGAGCTTCGCTTGATCCGCCAGGCAGGCTGACCTTGGTGCCCAAACCAGTGCCAGGTTCACAGGGTGGGATGCAACAAGTGCATCGACCTGAGGCGTGGAGCCAATATGCCACCAGCAGTCACCAGCACCAAGGCTATACACTGGAAGAGAGACTGGGTCCTGAATGAGACAAAGAAGAGGAAAAATGAACACCAAGAACATTGAACAGATCGAAGGCAAGATATGCAAGCATTGCTACTCAAGCAACTATGCACTATCAGCATCTCATTAATTTGAGAACATTTGAGAACAACCACAAGGGTGTCATAACTATCAGTCCTTCCATTTAGAAGGAAGGAGAAGAACGCCGTAAATAGCACTTTTGACTGATTTAAGACCTCAGTGAATCAGCAATACATGAAACATCTTGAGGCAGCGTTGTACGGTATGATCTTGGCTTCAGTTCAGGTCATGCAGTCCTTTCTGAGTGCTCGGCGTTAAAAACAACGCCATCCAAGTTTTGGTATGCGACCTCTGCAAACAGGAATGCATTACAAAAACGATCTCCCATGGCGCGATGGGCAACGGTCCAGATTTCTTCCGGGGCTTTGGGAGTTCTGACCAACTTTCGATCTCAAACATGGCCAACTGCGACACGACGAACCCACAAACAAACCTCTGTCTTCTTGGTGGCACCTGTACGCAAAAGTTCTGGATGAGGTAAGTCACCGATGGGATACCTGCAGCTGGTGGAAGCTGGTGGAACAGCTAGTCGGACACCAACATCTACCAGATCACTCCCGCCTGCCGCCAGCAGGCAGTCCTGAAGTTTCCAGTTGCGGAAGCAACGCTCAGCGGTGTCATCGGAAAACCTGACAGGCGGTGGAAAGGAAAAAAGAACACCATAAAACACCGTGCTTCTTGGGAGCGATATCTGAAGACTCCAAAAGGCCAAAAAGCCAAAAAGAACGATGGCCGAACGCCACGAAGAAAGAAAGAAACAACGGTCCACTGAGATCCCTCGCATGATGAACAAACAGCCCACCTCGGTTGACCAAAGAGGTGGTAAGCACGACATGGTTCGAGGTGGCCGACCGGCTTGCGTTTTGGACTCCATCAACAACCCGAACACTGGGTGGATATCCAATGAATTGGGGGTCGTTTTATGTGGTTTTGAAGCGGGTGTGTGGTGTGTGGTCCGTGTTTCCCGGTGTCCATCAATCACGGGGTGCGACATGAACCTGGCATCTCTGGCACCTCTCGTGACAGTGGTATACTTCCAACGCTGTATATAGCTAATGCATTACATGATGCATTATATTGCATTATGATACATTGACCTGCACAAAACAAATGACATCCTGATACATCCTGTCCCAAAATGTCCCAAACTTGTCCGTCCGGCATGCACTGTGGATGATCTCTTGTTTCAACATTCAAGTCTGCTGCCGGCTTTTCCTGCTCATTTCCTCGTGTGAGAAGGAATGATTGCAGTATATTGCAGTGCTTTGGTCATGTTTTGCATGTTTTGCCACTAAGTTGGTGTGTTATGGTGTGTTCTTTTTCCCAGTGTGCCAGCGGGAATAGATCTCTCCAATTCAAGTTCGTGGAGGCTTGGCTAGTTCACTTGTCAGTCCTGGCAAAGACCTGGTATGTAGATGAGTGGACAAGGAGACCGGGGCTCAGGCAATCTTTGCCAATTCTGCGCTGAGGACCACCGAACTTGTCCTAACAAGTATTTTTGCAAGTTGGGGCCAAATAGCTTTCGATTGGGGAACTGATCTCTGATTGAGGTTGTGGCACGCACTGCTTGTCAATAAATTGCTTCACAAGCAAAGGCTGGACACCTGTGCTCAAACCGACAAACCAGCTCCATTCAAACCAAAGAACACGCTGCACTGCCAAGTGTTTGTCAGCAAACGAAAGCATGCAGGCGAGGCCAAATTGAATGGAGATGATGATCAAGTACCTGCAGAGTACGAGGTTGCAGGATGTCCCGGGTACGTATTGCATGGAGAATCGTACAGTACTATCTGATGACCTGAGCGACGTTGCAGCGACGTCGTTGCAAAAAGTCCGACTTGTAGGGCTTGTTGTGCTTTTCTATCACGTTTTCTGCGACTTTCTGTCACTGTGCTTTTTTCATGTATATAATATCATATTCTCGATCCAAAGCCATGAGAGCATCTCACAGGTGCTTCGTGCTAACACACAAACCAAAGTGGAAACGGCAGCCTACCAAGGGCAAAGAACTGATGTTCAATGGCGTGACCAGTTTTTTCACTTTCCAACATTTCCAACTTGATCACCATGGAAAACAGGAAAACACCGATCACAATTCGCTCGTGGCTCACCCAAGGCCATTTTGTGCTCGCAAAAGCCTGGGCTTGGTTAAGCAAGTCTGCAGATCGCAAATCTTCAACCGGCTTTAACAACTTTGGCGGCTTGAAGCACAAAGAAAACATATGTCTCTTCAGGTCAGCTTGGGGGCGCACACAGAGAGATTGGGAAACTTCATTGCGAGAAGCGCTTTCAATCCAAATTCAAGTCAAGGCATCCTTGTGTGTCTGTTGGACTTGAAACATGTTGATATCTTGGTCTGTAATCAGTAACCCTTGTGCAGTTTCTGCATCTGAGTGTTTGCAAGGGTGAGCAATTGACCCAATGGAACTGTGCTGCTGCTGCCCTTGAAGGTCTCTGGATTGCCCTCTTGCTTTAGATTCCCGTGAAGCATATTTGACATGCAAAGGGCATTGGATGGCATTGCGTTGGCAATCTTGCTAGGCCTTTTCACTGCTTGTGCCAATGCTTGCAGAGCCAAACCAGCCGCAAATCCAGCCTTCTCAATCAAGGCAGCAACGAGGGCTGGTCTTGTATGCTAAGCAGCTGGGAATAATGATCAACACAATATGTTTCTGACACGCTTCCTCGGCATCATCTTGCTTGCAACCGCTTGTGCTGTCCCAATGATGGGACTTGTACACGTGTGTGATTACGTTCTTGATAAAGTCGGAAGCGAAACCAACAAACACAACACATTGACATTGGCGTGATACATCTCTGCATCTTGACACGCAAAACCCCCCACGGTAGCAAGCCCCAATCTTTCCATTCCCACACCTGTCTTGTGTGCTCCCGGCCCATAATTAGAGCTACTAGTATGTCCATGATGGACATATGATGATTGATTGGACCCTTGGACTTTGGACCAAATCACACCGATCTTTTTGAAAGGAATCAGGACCAGGAAATGACCGTCGCCCAGCGTTTTGCGTCCGTGCAAAGACACCCACCGTCGTCCCCCCGCTAAACGCCAAGGCCCACGGTCTCTCGCCCTCGCCTCCAGCCACTCCCCACCAGGTCTCCACGGAGGTCGGTTGGTGGACCTGGTCGGAGGTCTCCTCATGAGTTCGTTTTGGAACCAGAGTCATAAACAACAGTTAAAACATATATCATATATATATATAATATGTAATTATACGACGTATACCCTCCCTCCAACAATCATGTTGGAACGTGGATGGCACGGCCTGTTAGTAGAGGATGGCATCGTCTTCCTGACTCGGGGCCATGTTCCACTTCCATGTTTGTTGGATGGAGGGTAAGTATGATAGATTCAGTTAGATACAGTTATACAGTTAGTATACAGTTATAATTAATATTATAGTATTATGTTTAGGTGATGGGCAGAAACTAAATTTGAGCAACGATCATGATACTATCAAATAATCATCTGAATCGTGGTTCTGCTTCATCAAAGTCTCGACAGGAAATGTTCTTCGTGATACTAGCATTTGATGGCAGATGCGCATGCGCGACGGCCGGCGAAAAGGACGCAGTCTTGCATGAACGCATATGAACGCATGATCTCGCACGGCTAATCCCAACAACTTTAAACTTACTTATATTACACACGTATCACATCTATCGTATCATCACTTGACCACATGTATCACATCATCTGAACATCCGAATACCATCCAATCACCTTTATTTCGCTTCACTGGGATCATCGCATCGCCTCCGCACAAAACGTCGTTTCTGTTCGATCAAATCCTGTTTGAAGCATCGAGACCAGGTCGTACTCAACGCTTGGTGGTTCCAAATCGTTCCCAGGAACGCTTGGTGCCGTTTTTTGAAGTGAAAAGAGGTTCATCTGCACTTTTGAGTCTTCGTTTGAGCAGCGGAATTATAGTTGTCTCCCGGGAAATCGATTCACACTCATGGCATCCAGCAATTCTCAATCTCTTTGGCGCAGATTGAGGACTCTCAAGAACACAGATCGAGTCTACAAGGGCCTTTTGGGCATGTTTGCATTCGAGCTGAATTACATCATCCACATCTCTCCACATCGCACAATGAGATCGTCTGGCGGCCACTGGGGGGTTACTGGGGGATTGTTCCCCTTCTTGATACCAATGCAGGGTTGAGGTAGGTAGTGGAACCGCAAGGTAGTTGGAGGGACTCCATGGCCGTCCAACCAAAGCTTTTGCCCCACACAGCTCAGAGATTCTTCTGAGGCCGCTACTTGGCCGATTTGCCCTCTGGTGCCTGAAGCCACCAAAAGCAGGAACGAGAAAGCGTTTGAGCTTTGCCAGCTCTGCTATCGTTGCCCAAACAGTCGTGACGGTTGCTCTTGGAGAACCTGGACAATAGATGGGACATTGATTCATAAACATGGTAATTAGACTCTGCATAGTCATCCATTCTGGGAGCAACACGGACAACACGGATGCTTCGAAGGGAAGACTTTTTTCAGCGCTCGGTAAAACCACCACAGCGGAACTGCTAACCACACACCCCAGCGCTGCTCGAGACTCGTCTGCCGAGTCAGGTGCGTGCGCGAACGATCCGTGCGAACGAGTGTGCCGTACAATGCTCCTAGTAGTATGGCACTTGTTTAATAGCTTCTTGTTACTACTAGTAAGGCACTTGTTACTACTAGTGATGCACTTGTTCCTAGTAGCTTCAGTACAATGCGCTTTAAAAGAAAAGACGGCAGGGACTTCATGGATGACAGTTGGACATTTGGACTGTGGCCATCCTGCATGTTGCATTGTACACTGTGCAGTTTGTCTTTAGTTCCGTGGAAGAGGAGGATGCACACACCCAACTCGGGTCGCGCCTTTTGCTTTCCTTCTTTGCGTTGACGAAGAAACTCTTCAAGGCTCTTCAGGACCTACAATGCCGCCCTCTCTGAACACACTACAGTACAATGTGGCTAGGCGATCCAAACCAACTCTTTTTTCGCAAACAAGTTGACTTTCTGACCGACTACATTGACTACTCTGACTCTACATGATATCATCTTGGAATATCTTGAACATTCTACAGGGAATCGATCTACATGTTCCCATCACACAACGATCCTTCGACAGCGAACGGCGAATGCGACGCTGGGTGCGGCCTCTCGATCTGTGTGGCCTCGCACCTAGCATCACCCGTCGCCCGTCGTCCAATTGTCTGCCCCACACACCACTACAAGGTTGCCCTCGACACCGGGCTCCACACCTATCCACCATGAGGTCTGGGGAAAAACATAGCTTGTCACGTTTTGGAGCTACTTTCGCCATCCTTCGATTGGTTGAAACCGGTCACTCCAACGTGACCGGACGCAGCTTACTACGCTAGGCTCCCAACGTGACAGGCCGAGCGGACGGCACTGGGCATGCTGAGCCAAAAGTTGAACCTGAGCCACAGCTGTTGCGCCAAGTGGTGTTCGATGCGTCGTGCCTGCGGGTTGGATGGGAGGTTGATAGGTTTGGCATATGCGACAAAGGGCTGAGTGTGGTGTGTGGTTCCCTCAAAATCTTCAAAGGTCTTCAGTTCACTTATTTTTTGAAAGTGAGGCTGGAAGTTCCTGGATAGGATATTGAGTGTGGTCCATGATGACTCCCCCTACCCCATGGCCAAGTATGCTTCAATCGCTTTGGACATCCCAACAAAACCGCCCAAGAAAAGCTTTGGACATGGCACACGACTTTCATGTCCAAGGTTTCGTAGCCGAACTTCTTCGTAAAGGCTTCGGAGACCTGGGGGGAAGGTCGGTCCGATGGAACCATGGATCGGGCACGGCCGAACCAAGAAGGAAATGGCCAAGCGATTCCTCTCAGGAAGGCCTTCCCCCTCCCATGTTTCATTAGGAAGGCTTCTTAAAATTCGCTGAAGTTGAATCAAATCATATCTCAAGTGTGTCTGCTAAATGCATTTTATAGATGTCTATTGCATTCTGTTAATCCATCTGTTCATCTTCCATGCCAACGTTCGGTCCACTGGGGCACCAAGCACGCTCCGCCAAGGCTCGCCCCGAGAGCCGCTCCTAGGTCAAAGTGGGAATCTGCCCAAGAAGAGCTACTAGTAGCTTCTTGTTACTACTAGTAAGGCACTTGTTACTACTAG